GATTTTTTTTAAAGAAATAGCTAATGTGACTTAACTCTTCCTCTCTTTAAGAACTTTTCTTTCAATGCTGGTGTTGTGGCATGATAGTTTAAGTTGCTGCCTATGATCCTTAGGGCATTGGTTCAAACCCCGGCTGCTCCACTTTCAATCCAGCTCTCTGCTGATGCACCTGGGAAAAGTGGCGGAAGATGTCCCAAATACTTGGGCCTCTGCTTCCCACACTGGAGACTCGAGTGAAGCTCCTTGCTTCACCCTGGCAGAAAACAAAAACAAAAACAAAAACAAAACAAACAAACAAAAAAAACCAAAACAATCCTTTTCTTTCACTTGGGAAACTTTTTGCTTAAGATACCATAGTTCACTCCCCAGATGGCTGCAACAGCTGGGACTGGGCCAGGCCGAAGCCAGGAGCCAGAAGCTTCTTGTGGGTCTCCCGTGTGGTTGCATTGGTCCAGGTGCTTTCCCAAGTGCATTAGCAGGGAGCTGGATAGGAAGTGGAGCAGCTGGGACATGAACTAGTGCTCATATGGGACATTGGCACAGCAGACTGCAGCTTTATTCACTACGCAACAGTGCCTGCTTGAGAGTAGGGGTTCTTAATGTTAATATTTGGGTAAAAGAGACCTTTGAAAATCAGTCAGTGGCTATAGACTCTTAATGTACTGCAATACAATTCTGATGCCAACTACCAAGATTTGCTGTTAGGCTCTACAAATTTATGGGAACTGTTCCATGTAAGACTGTCCTTCCCTCAGATGCCCGTTACCAGCTTGGGAGTGCCAGCCCACATGTACTTCTGAGCAACCAGTCAGGTTTCAGGTTTGATATTTCACTATAACAACTCATAGACTCAGGAAAATGCTATCCTTCTTTTTATGGTATATTTTTTAAACAAAGGATACAAGTGAGAACTGACCAAACAAAGAGAAACTTAGGGTGAGATCTGAGAGATTTTCAAGCACAGAATTTCCATTGTCCTCTCCTCATGGGGTCAGGATCCCTTACCTTGTGTGCCCTCATCAATTTATCAATGTGTTACCCAATCAAGGAACTTACCTGTTTTTTTTTTATCCTGAGGTTTTTTTTGTTTGTTTGTTTGTTTTTTACATAGCCATGATTAATTGGGTGATTGGCCATTTAATGATTGGTGGAATCCATCTCTAGTTCTACGCTCCTCCCTGGAGAACAGGTTAATTCAAAGTCTCAACTCTCCAGTCACATGTTGGTGTTTCCAGTAACCAGCCTCCTTCCTGAGTCGCAGTATGTGTTTAAACTCAGGTGTAATCCAGGGAGATGATGAGCACCAAGCCACTCCTATTGCTTTGGAATTTCTAAAGATTTTAGAAGCTGCATTCCAAGACCAGCTGGACACACTCCTTATCACTACTACAGCCCTCTTCATAGAAAACATACATTAGTCAAGTCCAATTTTGATGAAAATGCCAAGAGTTAATAGATATCTGAAAAATTCCAGGTTAAAAACTCCTGATTATAAAGTCGAATACAGTTTTCCTAAATATATAAACTTGAGCTTGGCATTTACTTCAGCCTTAAACTTATAGGTGCATAAAGAGAATCCAAGATTGAGGTTCAAAGACAGCATTTAAAGAGTCACAGGAATGCTTTTACTAATCCAGCCTTAATTGCATAAATTTAATAGTTTTTATGCTGCAATATGTAAGTTAATAAGCATTCATTTGTAGGGCAAAAATGTTGGATGGGATGGAGGTTTTCAGGTAGTTTCTGTACACGTGGCTTAGCGGGATTCACAGTAATGCTCAGTTGACTTCAATAACCCATGAAAGCAGAGCCTCCACTCCACCCCCAGCCCCAGGTACTATAGTAGGCAGAGCAGGCTTTCTTCACACAAGGCATCGAGTACATTTTTGCTAACTTATTGCAGCAGGAATTTTTGGTAAATGAGATGAAGACCAGTCTTTCCACTGACTCCTAAGTGATGACTGGTCATGTGCATTTGACAAGGGACTGTGTTTGACTTTGGAGGACATTCTCTTGAAGCATTTTGTACTTGAGGTTATGAATTGCTATTGTATTCCCTAAGCTTTGGGTCTTGTGGAACATTTTTGAAAATGTTAACTCAGCTGGAGTAGCCAAATTCCAAGCAAGCTAATTACATTCCTCCTAACTTAAATTACATTAATTTTCACAAATTCCTCTGAGGTAGGCATTTTAGGACTTTCTACTTTTTTTTTATTTGGCATCTTGGAAAACTGACACACTACATGAGTGAAGTAGAGAATGGAAATTATTATCCTGATCAAATAATTGATATAAAATTCTTTTGATTTTGCTTCAATTACACAAAAAATAAACTTCTCTATTTTATTTGCTCTCTCTTTCAAGAAATGAGTCCATTTCATTTGAAAGTATAAGATACATTCTTTAAAAGTGTAGGAGAAAAATCATACACATACTGTTCTGTTAAGATGAGAATACTAGAGAATCTATAATGTAGGATTCCACTAAAGAGGATGTGTTTTGTGATTATATCCTGCAAGAAGAACTTAATTGAGCTTATATCAATCTTATATTGCAAAGTTTTATGAAATTAAGCATAGCTCTCAATATCTTCTTTATGATTCTTTTAGTGATTTTCTATAAAGTCCAGAGATATGATTATTTCCTCTCATTATTCTGATTTGCAGAAAGACATTGTGTTTGTATAAGTCACTTTTGCTGGTGGCGTTTATTTTTCTATGGTTTAAGTTCAAACCTATTTGTTCTTAATATTTAAAGTACATTTTGCAGGCAGAATAGAATTCTTGTTCTTTATCTGATCTGATAATCTTCCCTTTTAAATTGGAACAGTTTAGGCATTTACAATTAATGTGATTATTGATATGGTTATGTTTCAATGTTAGGTTTAAATGTACTATTTATTTTTATATGCCCTATTGACTCCTTATGTTTTTAAGATTAATATTAGCATAAAATTAAATATAGATGTATATATCTCTGTGCCAATAAAGATAATATTTAAATTGTTTGTATTTACTGAGCATAATTCAGCTTTTTGTAGAGACAGGTATGTGTATAGGAATAGGAAATTATATTTATTTGTTTTTTTACTATAGCACTAGAATGTTTACTTCCTATAATAAAGGACTTGTCCATTTTTTAAATATAATTATTAGTTGAGAGAGAGAGGGAAAAACACTTCTATCTACTGGTTCATCCTCCAAATGCCCACAGTGGTCAGCACTGGGCTAGGGCTGGACCTGAGATCCAGGAATGTAGTCCAGGACTGTCATGTTAGCAGGAACCTTATTACTGGAGCCATCAGCACTCCCTCCTATAGTCAGCATAAGCAGGAGACTGGAATCAGAAGGTGGAGCTGGTAACTGAACTGAGACACTGCAGTGTAAGATGCTGACACCTTCACCACGAGGCTGAAAGCCTACTCTCCTGTTTCTTTTATACCAGCAATCTCTAGCTCATGTTAGGTAAACAAAAAACATCTGTTGATTGAAAGAAACTAAAGCCATCCCTTGGAATGGAAGTAGAAAGATCACCTCAATCCTGTATAGATAAAAGGGAGGAAAGCCGACAGTAGAATATTTCCCATGGATCTTATGTTAGGAGTTTAAAAGTCATAAGATCTTTTGAAAAGTAAAGGAATAAGAAAAAAATTGTCATCCAACTTGGGAGCAGATGTTGGAGAAAGTAGGCTGGAGATGCTGTAAGTCACAAATGAGAGTGCCTGCCAATGCTGGTTGAGTATTATTACGTGTCGAGGAGACCCTCTTGATGGCCCATACCTAACTAATAAGACTGTTCTTTTACTGTGCTTCTACTGCCCTTAAGTCCATCCCATGTATCTCTTCATTTGATGACTTTCTTTTGGGTACATTTTTGTTTATCCAAGATTGGAGTGAGATAATCACAGTTTAGTAAGGATGCTTATTTACTTGTATAGATATTATCGTAAGATACCAGGATGAGTAGAATAATGTGTGTGTGTGTGTGTGTGTGTGCTGTGTGTATGTACACACATACCTGGAATAGAAGACTGATTATATTTCCTTGGAAGGCAGGTTAGAAAAGATTTCAGTATACTTTTAAAAGTAAATAAAGTGAACAAGGCAGTAAATAGTACTATAATAAGATGGATAAATTTTACCAAGGCTCAGAGACACAAAATAGCATAGCATATTCAGAATATAGCAAAGAGATCCAAAGAAAACCAAATCTCTACTAATTGTTAACTGTATGTTATTAAACAAGTTAGCATTTCAGAGCCTCACTTCTAGCTATGAAATGGGAATAATAATATCTGCCTCATAGCATTAGTATAAGGATTAAATAGGATGGAATATTTTTTAAAATGTGTGTTCTTGAAAGGCAGAGAGATAGAAAGATAGAGTTCCTTCTGCTAGTTCACTTACTAAATGGCTGCTATAGCCGGGCTGGGCCAAGTCCAAGCCAGAATCTCAGAACTGTGTCCTGGTCTCGTTTGCATGACAGAGGCCCAAGATGTAGGCAATCTTTGGCTGCCTTCCCAGGGAAGCAGGGAGCTGGATCAGGAAGTGGGGCAGCTAGGACTAGAACCAGTGCTCTAATATGGGTTGCTCATGCCGCAAGTGGTGGCTTAACCCACTATGCCACAACAAGGGCTTGAAATGGGATATTTTATTTAATGTTTTATCTCATGTAATTGATGTTCAATAGTGGTCACTGTAACTATTACTACTACAGCTATTTCTATTATTATGATTCCTCTTGGTATTTCTGGAACATAAAAGATAATAAGGGAGCAAAGGGAGATCAAATTGGAATGGGTAGGCAAAATCCAGGCCAAGAAGAGCCTTGAATACAAGGCTAAAGAGCTTCATACTCCTCCTGTAGCTTGTGGGGAATTGAGCTTCATACTCCTCCTGTAGCTTGTGGGGAATTAATTCTTAGAGGACGTTAACAAGGAAGTAGTTTTTTTTTTTTTTTTTTTTTTTTTTTTTTTTTTTTTTTTAATTGGCTATCCAGAGTCTTGCTCCTAACATCAGTATAGAAGTACTGCAGGTGATTGGGAGGCAGTGAGGAAGAGTGAGTAGCTCTGAAATAGTAGACACCAGACAGGAGACAGCTTACAAAAACTTTCTAAAGATAATGTACAAAGTAGAGACAGGTTGAGCAAGTAGAAGACAGCACAACTATAGAAGCCTAACAAATAACATTTATAGAAGGATAATTTGATAGAATGGCAGTGCTGAGTCATATTTAATATGTGACTTACATTGCCCCAAGATCTCTTTTCGATGGAGTTAGATCAACCAGTTATTTGTGCCATCTTTCTGCCTCCTTCCATGCCCTGTCCCCAGTATAAACAGATAGCCTACTCTATGCTGTATTGATACAGCATGATGTTTGGCTACTTCTAATTGTCAAGTTTCACTTACTCAGAAATACTGGATTCACACAGAGGTAACTGACTGGCTAATTACTCTCCTGGGAATGTGGCGTTAGATTGATCATTATAAATAATGGGAAACCAGATAAACTTACTCTGCTTTTAGGGCTTGCATCTGAAACAGGGAAGAGAAATCAGTATTATTTTATGATTTTAGCTTTCCTCACTTTTTAGATGCTGCAGCTGTGTCCTCATTGTATTTTATGGCCAGAAAAAAAATCACCCCTCAGCAGTTCCTATAATTTCAAATTTATAACTATGTCCAGGGTAATTCACCCGTAAGTCAACTAGAAATAAAAATAGAGAAGATAGACCCATCTGTTGGAGTGGTTTTTTTAACTGCAGAAAACATTTCCTTTCTTTAAAAGCAAAGCTGTAAAATCTGTATAAATTTCAATCTGTAAACCATGAAACTCTAATTTTTCCACTTCTCTAGTCACTTTGAGTAAATGATTTTGCATATGTGGGATGTCAAAAATCAACAAAATGGTCCAAGGGAGTGTGAGAGATTGATTTTGACTACATTAAAGTCTTTTAAGGAATAGCAAAAAAGATTCTTCAGGTAAATAAGAACCGAAAGAATTCTACACTGCTTGGTACTGAAAGATCTGTGTCTTCAGGTAATACATCTTTTTTTTTTTTCTACCTTACAAGTGAATTTCAACATTTTACTTTATTGTTTAAAATTAATTGTATATTTTAAGTAGATTTTAAATTAACCATCTTCCCTTAAAGCTGTTACCTTTTTTTTTAAAATAAGGTCTCCCTTGGAAACACTGATAGGGCTATTTAAATAGTCTTTATAAAGCCTTTATTTAAGAGTATAAATCTTCATTCTGAATAATTCAGACCTAAGTAATTATTTTCCTTGAATATTCTGGCTATGATTCCATCAGAATTCCTCCTCATTCTGCCTGTGTGGAACAAACTTCAGCTGTTAAAATCCACTTGGTATTACACGGGGAGTTTGACCTCTGATCCCTCATGTGATAAATCCAAAGCTAAACCATGTGGAGTGGTCACCACTCATGCAGCTGGAACTCCTGTGACTGAAATCCGCATGCGTATATTTTGGGAAATGAAAGGTTTAGCACAGAACACTACACAAAGGCCCTCCTTTCACTTTCTGGAAGCCAATTAAAGCTTTTCAGGTATCTTACAGCACCACGTAATCATTTTCCATCAGTCTTGGAGATTGTCACTCTGATACACAAGGTTATAAAACGTCAGGAGAAGGCCGGCGCCACAGCTCAATAGGCTAATCCTCCGCCTGAGGCGCCGGCACACAGGGTTCTAGTCCCGGTCGGGGTGCCAGATTCTGTCTCCGTTGCTCCTCTCCTGTCCAGCTCTCTGCTGTGGCCCGGGAAGGCAGTGGAGGATGGCCCAAGTGCTTGGGCCCTGCACCCGCATGGGAGACCAGGATAAGCACCTGGCTCCTGGGTTTGTATCCACGCAGTGCGCTGGCTGCAGCGCACTGTCCACTCTCTCACTGTCCACTCTGCCTGTCAAAAAAAAAAAAAAAAAAAAAGGAGAGTCACACTGTCACACTGTGGTTGCGTTTGCACCACTGGTGGAGGCAAACTGGGAAATGTCACTTTTTAATCCAATGATCATTACCCTTCTGAAGCTTTCTCAACTTTTAGTGTACGTCTTGGCTTCTGAAATAGCGGGAAGAAGTTTAGCTTGATGTAAAAGTTTTTGGCTTTTGAACCAGTCATTTCTAGAGAATGATTTTACTATAATCAGATTGCTTACCAATTTGTTTCATCTCTTTTTTCTTAGGATTTTTTTTGTTCTTTCAATCATTTACACATTTAATAAATACTCCAGTGCCTTTGGAGCTTTGAGGGCCCAGGTTCTGCCCATGCAATTTAAGGCTATCTGTGTTGCCAGGGTTTTTCTTTCCAAACTTATATGAAGGATAATTGGGTTGGGAAAACACAGGTTGAACTTTAGAAACTTGACAGGGCATTTAATTTAAATACACAGACAGTAAACTACAATTTCTATAAAGATTTGATTATATGTGTACTTGGAATGTAAATTACAATCCTTATTCACTGGAACCTGAATAATTGGGAAAAGAATGGAATTTAAGATTGCAAACTTTGGGGAAAAATTCTGCCAACTCCAAAGTCAGCATCAATCCATGCCAAAATTGCAGACAAGGAGAAATTTGTCCTTAGAAACTCCCAAGTGGGTATTTGTGTCCTTCCCTCCTTTCATGACAGACTCTTCCAGGTTCCTTTACAATAAGCAAATAAAACAAAACAATTTTTCTTAGGAAAAAGTTGCTATCAATTGGTGTGAATTTATATCTGAGTATTATCTTTCCCAGAACTGTTTGTCTTTTAACAGTAGTTTAGATATAAGATCATACATTGTTAAAGGAAATCCAAGAATAAGTGGCTGTATGGGGACAAGGTTTGGGGTATGAGTTTATGTTCAATAACAGCAAATGACTTATTTATGTAGGGATAAGATTAACCCTCCCTACAGTGCTCATTAATGGGTTAACTTGTATACTGGGCTTAATTTCTTTTCTGTTGGAAGTGGAGCCAACTCTTAGGATTACATGAAATTTTTTTTAACTTTGATTTAGGAAATATAATTTTCCAAAATACAGTTTATGGATTACAATGGCTTTGCCCAACCCATAACTTCCCTCCCACCCACAACCCTCCCATCTCCCACTCCCTCTCCCATTCCATTCATATTAAGATTCATTTTCAATTATCTTTATATACAGAAGATTGATTTAGTATATACTATGTAAAGATTTCATCAGTTTGCACCCACACTGAACATAAAGTGTAAAATACTGTTTGAGTGCTAGTTATAGTGTTAATTCACATTGGACAACACATTAAGGACAGAGATTCCACATGAGGAGTAAGTACACAGTGACTCCTGTTGTTGACTTAACAATTTGACACTCTTGTTTATGGCGTCAGAAATCTCCCTAGGCTCTAGTCATGAGTTTCCAAGGCTATCGAAGCCTCTTGAGTTCACTGACTTCGATCTTATTTAGACAAGGTCATAGTCAAAGTGAAAGTTCTCTCCTCCCTTCAGAGAAAGGTACCTCCTTCTTTGATGGCCCGTTCTTTCTACTGGGATCGCACTCGCAGAGATCTTTCATTTAGTTGTGTTTTTTTTTTTATCTTGTTTTTCTTTTAATTATAGCCAGAGTGTCTTGGCTTTCCATGCCTACAATATTCTCATGGGCTCTTCAGCCAGACCCAAATGCCTTAAGGGCTGATTCTGAGGCCAGAGTGCTGTTTAGGACATCTGCCATTCTAGGAGTCTGCTGTGTATCGCACTTCACTTCCCATGTTGGATCGTTCTCTCCCTTTTTTATTCTATCAGTATTCTATCAGTTTTATTCTATCAGTTAGTATTCATTCTCTCCCTTTTTTATTCTATCAGTTAGTCTTGTTTGTGTGATCCATTTGACTCTTAGATCTATCAGTGTGACCAATTATGAACTGAAATTGATCACTTGGACTAGTGAGATGGCATTGGTACATGCAACCTTGATGGGATTGAATTGGAATCCCCTGGCACATTTCTAACTCCACCATTTGGGGCAAGTCCGATTGAGCATATCTGTTTTTAAAGCAGTATTTGATGAGAGCTCTTCAATGAAAAACACTTCTGAATTAGTACAGAATATATGATTTGTCATAGATCTAAAAATAGTGGCAGAGATGTGTTACCAGAATGACTTCCAGGAGGAAATGATTGATTGTAATTAGAAAACAAACCACATACCAAGCACTCAATCATCACAAATCTTATAGAAAAGGAAACCTCTATTAGAACATAATTATACATAGCACTCACACACCTGTTATTTCATTTATAGAATCCTTTGTCTTCTAAAGACTGACAGGAGTGATACAAAAAAGATATGTTTAAAAAGGAGACTGTGGGAAATGATAGCACTTTAGCTAGTAATGACTTCTTATCAAATGCTTCCGTACAATGGCAGTTTCCAGTAACAGTGGTTCTATCTTTATTCAGCTGCACAAAAACTCTCCTATGAACCATTTCATATATGTAGAAACCCTGTGCCTTACTAGTTTGTGTCTTTGGTGCTACACAGGAAGTGCCTTGTTCTTAGATGCCCACTAAGCATCACTTGAAGGCTGAACAAATATATTAACATGGGAAAGAGTTAACCCAAATCAGTATGAATAGTTAGAATTCATATGAGAAGAAATGAAGAGGCAAGAGATTAATAAAATAAAATGAATTACAATAAAATAAGAAAATCTTATTTACATTCAAATCTCATGTATATTCATGGCCCCAAGTTAGAGAATATCAAAGTCCTCAATTAGATTTTTAACTCATGGTGAATTCTAGATGGTAAGTGTAATTAGTGATTGCAGTTTCAATAGTATGTTATTCCCTCTTCATTTTATTATATACACAATTTATTATTTTTTGTCAACAAACTGTCAACCACCAAGAATACATTTTATGCTTTCAGTTTGCTCAGCGTTGTACCAACAGTGTAGGATGTATCTGTAGATACATATTCCATAGTTCCTATTCTGAGATACCCATGCTATTTGGAAAAACAGGAACAGCACAGATAATAGGAGAATAAAAAAGAAGAGAAAGATAGTATAAGATAAAGTATGTGGCGTATACAATGAAATAGCTTAGCTTTTGTTACCAAAGTCTTTTCTGGAAAGTCAGGTCCCTGACAGGACTGCTGTACTTCAGAGTGTTCACAATCATAGGGGCAATGGAATTGTGATTTGGAAGTTAAGCTGACTTTTCTTGTCATTTCAGCTATCAAATTTAAATTGTCCAATGAATTTTTATTTGCACCATCACCACAATATTTTGTATAGATTTTGATTTCAGAATAAAACTATGAGCCTTTCACAAAAGAAGTAATTGAATGTATCACATTAAGAATGTAAATACATGCAAAAGTATCTGTGGGGCTCCAAGTCTATGACACTAACACAATTAGGGACTTAGAGTTAGCTCACTTCTGAGACACAATGTAAGATGAGGTTATTATGGTTAACTTGTAAATTACCTTCCATCTCACTGATAGAATTTCCTGAATATTCTCAGCTTGAATTACTTATCTTCTCTATTTTGTTTTAGTTATATTATTTTTTGGCAAGCTTTTGTTTTTAAAGTGTGTTTCAACCATAAACCATTTTTTATAGCAGATTTAATCATCTAATAATTTGTTTTCAAGTAACTTTTCATATTTCATAATATGCATATGTATACAATTTTCTTCTTTTATCTTAGCAGAAATAATATCAAAATGTCAAGTGAATAACAAATAATGGAAACATTGTGCCAATGTATGAATCAAAATGAATAGCATAACAGATAGCCAATGTTTTCTAAAAAATAGATTCTTTCTTTGGTTGCACAATTTTATTCAGATTGCAAAGTATCAATCATGAAATTGATGATTTGTGCCTATAAGATTCAGGTTCCTGTGAGATGCACCTGTAAGAGGTTTTTAACAGTTTATGGAATGACAACTTTCTAAGAGATTATCATACGGTCATCATATACTGTATCATTCTAGATTTGGCTTCCTCTACTTTAAGAAAATGTACATGCAAGTGTTTTGGAT